ACACTAGCCATGTGTACGCGATGAAACTACCATTGATATACACACTAATCTTGTGTTCTTCGTGAAACTACCAGTGATATATACACTCGCCTTGTGCACGTATTGCAACTACCATTAATATATACACTAGCCTTCTGTAGGTGGTGAAACTACCAGTGTTATACACACTAAACTTGTGTACGTGGTGAAATTACTTATTCAGATATAAAGAAAAAGAAGGAACAAAACACGTAGAACGAATAGTAAATATAGAAAACGATATAGAAACAATCTAATCCACATAAAAATCATGTAATTCGATTCTAATATGAATAAAACACGAAAAGATGCAAATAGAGTAATACTGAAAACAACTTTAACGAGAAAAGAGATAAAGCTAGAAATCACACAAAGAGTAATATATAATAGTAGAAACATCTTAGAATAATGCAGAAACCACAAAGGAGTTAAGTAAGTTGAAGAAACTCGGGACTATATAAGCGCTTGAAGCATTACGTCGGTACGGAATCTTTTTGATAAAGACAGGGAATATGCAGCGAATGATAACTAGATGGGAGAAACACATAAACAAATAGTAATTTGAAAGAAACAAACCACATGCGATTGAGAACTTGCAAAATTAAGGTTAGTCGTGACATACACGAAGAACACCTGAGTTTCTAAAAGTAACTATCCCTGTTCTTGTGCTAATTTTGGAAAGTTCCTTTCGACTAGATTACGACTTTAGTGTTTAAAAATACTATAAAGTTATTCGTTATGTTCTATTGCAGTACATTTACAGTCGATCTTCGTGTGTTTGTAATACTTAAGTCAGCACCAGACAATTTTTATTCTTCAAAATAGCCTATATAAATAGTCTTCAAATATAAAAAGAAAGGAGGGAATAGTAAACAGAGAAAACGATATAGAAACAATCTAAACAATAAAAAAGCATGTAATTCCATTCTAATGTAGATTAAACACGGAAAAGATGCAAAAAGAATAACACTAAAAACAACATTAACGAGAAAAGAGAAAAAGCTAAAAATAACACGAAGAGTAATAGATAATAGTAGAAACATCTTAAATGATGAAGAAACCACAAAACAGATAATCAACTTGAAGAAACTCCATACTATATAAGCGCTTAAGAATTACTTTTATAAAGAATG